GTATATGTAAAAAAATTTGTAAATTATTACTCAATACTTGGAAGAAGTCATTCATAACACATGTTTCTTACGCTTCATTTTATAAAATTGCATATAATTAAAAAAATTTTTCGTACGAAGAATACGAAACACGTAACTGCACCAATGCCTTATTATTTAACTTAATCAAAATTCTCAATAATCTGTTCATTAACTGTTTACCTGCTCACACTCACACTACTTGCCTTTTGTGCTCAAAGCTGCTCACGCTTATTGCTTTTTTTTCAATTAATGTTTTTAAGTTTAATAAGCCAAAAAATTATATCAAAATACGAATCCATCAAATGTTCGAAATTGATGTAAAATTTAGTAAGGATTACGCAAAACTTGATGCAAAAGGCTAAAAATTGAATGTAAATAAGGCCAATTAGGAAAAGTTACAGAATTTTGATTTCTTTTTTATATTAACATGTTTAGTTTTAGCACAGTCTACGAACTTTACAAAGCATTTTAGATTTACCCACCGATGATATATTGGAATTCAACGTCAATTTATTCCATGTTCATCGATGATGGTATAAGTCAATATGTTAGACAGAATTCCGAATATCGGATGCATTTAAGTAAAAATGAAAAAGCTGAACAAGAGAATAAGAAAACAAAAAGGAAAATGTAAACGTTTATTTTATAGTTATGAAAAAAAAAGCAATAATCAAAAAAATAAAAATTTTAGTAAAGGAAAATAATGAAAAAAAAAATTGATATTAATTTATTCAAGAACAAGAAATTTGACTAACTTATGAATTTTTTAGTTTAAGATTTGAAAATCGCTTTTACCAGCAAAAGAATGTTTGCAATCGTGTGGGGTCTAGTACAAAAATTTGTTTGTCAAATGGCAATTCTTTTGAAATCAATGCCACAACAAAAAAGAATCATTAGGGGAATTAGTAGCAAATAACTATTACCAAATAACAATTGGCGGAACCGGGACTACTTTGGAAAAGTATGGACAAACAATTCAAAAAATTTTTCAATTTGATTAATAATGAAATTTTCAAAAGTTATTTGGTATATAATTTTTTTAATCATGAAAAATGACAAAAAGCATGTAAAGAAACACAAGTTGTCAAACGAAAAATATTAAAACTTCCTTTCTTCAGGAATGTTTAAATTTTAAACAACATAAGTATAGGTCCACTGTCCGTGGACCATTAGTAACCTAATTTATCCGCGATTTTTTCTTAAAGCCGTACTTTAATCTTTAATCTACAGCTTTATTATTTAGTTTAGAATTTTGTTCAAGGTCAAAGCCTACAAAATGGGTGAGTATTTAGACCGATTAGTCAGTATTTAGCTATTATAATGTCTTACCAATTTATTTGTTCCTTTCTTTTGGTGTATAATCAATTTTTAATTGAAAAACGCCCTTTACACACTTGTTTTAAATTTTAGGAACACTAGCAAGTTTTTATTAACATAACTAGAAAAGTGTAATTTTGACACTAAGTATAGAGTTTCAGTTTAAGCCATGGGAGCTCGCTGACAAGTTCATCAGCTAATTCATTGTTTAGAGTTGCTTTTGCATGTACCCCATATTTATAATATTTGGAAAATTTATAATACCTTCATTTTTCAATTGGTTTCGGTATTTTGAAGTTTTTATTTATTTAAAAAAAATCCTATCACATATTATTTTAAAAAAATTTTAAAAATAAAAACGTACTCTCAAATAACACCCTCTTTCAATATGAAACTTAAATTCTTCTTTAGTCAAGGTCAAAGCTGCTTCCTATAATAATAAGCATCAACCGAATAGTAAGGCTCTTAATGTATTGTACTCGTAACAATAACAAATATCTTCAGAATAAAATTTCTGTGAAAGGAAATATCTTAATTGCAATTTATTTCTTATATTAATTTACTAACTAAGATTTGACACTTAAGACGTGTGAATTGTATGTACAGAATTATGCAAAACTCTTTCCTTTTTTTCCATTTAAGTTTATTAAAATTAAAGAATGCAAATTGCAAATAAGAAATGTTTTACTCATCTTTAAAACATTTTTTACAAATCGCAACTGCTTAAATTATTTTATGCTGAAATATTTTTTTAAACCCCACCCAAAAATTTACGCTGGTGACAATTTACATTAATGTATAAAAAAAATTTTTATAGGGGATATGATATATAAAAGGCAAGGGAAATTGTATAAGTGATAATAAAATTCATTGAAGAAAAAAAAACCATTTTTTCGCTAAGATGTTCAATTTTTTCACTCCAAAGGATAATTTTCCAATTTGATTTTATTATTATTATTATTACTACCTATAGGCCAAATCTTTTGTATAAAGTTACACATATACAGTTATACAAAAAATGAACTATAAGATGATTGCATATAAAGAACTATACATACATTAACATTTATAATATGAGAACAAAGTTAATACAAACCTATAATAATATCTACATTATGTTATATTATACATATACTAGACACACACATGCATATGCAATATAAGTACCTATGAGATATGTACAAGAGTGTAAAAATGAAAGGCAAATATTATACCCGTTATTTTTTCCTTTCAGCATATTTTTCAATTGCAAACCTTTCCATTTACAAATTCTGTTTTCCTACACAAATTTTGTTTCTTGTATATACTTTCATGAATTTTCATTTTACTATGATTTTCGCCAATCTCAGCTATATTTTTTTATTAAGGTGAGCTATACATAAACCTATAGGTACTTATACACATATATTTATACTTTTATTACAATCCCACATTTTTTTCTCTCAAATTTTTAGCTTTCAAGCATAAATTTATTTGCAAAAAAAACGAATAAATAGATGGGAAAAAATTTTCCAACAATTTAAATTTTGTATAAATCGAAATATTAAAACCCCTTTGCAAAAATTTTGATTGAATGCTTATGGCAATTTACTCAAATTTTTCTCCCTTTAAGTATGAAAAAAAAAAATTTGTAATATTGAATTCAATTTTAAATTAATACAATACATATGTACATTGTAATGTATATAGGTAGGCACCTTTACACAATTTATACATTTTGCATTTCAAAAAGTAATAATAAAAAATTGTTTTTTGTGAAATGCTTGAATTTTCTGTAATATTTTTTGTAGTTGATTATTTATTATATTTCTAGATATAGTAAATATACATAGATGATACCAGTAAATATGTCTTAATTCCATGTTATATAAGCATATTTCTGATATGAGTATAAATTCGAAGCGCGAATCATTACTCCCTTTGAAAGTTATTAATTTATGTTTTAATCAGAAACACTAAAGGAAAAATATTTCAAAACTAGTATGACAGGAATAAAAACCATGAACAAAACTGGAGCATATATATATATATATATATATATATAAATATAAATAAATGGTGGGAAAGAAATCATTTTCATAAAATTTTTACAAATTGGAAAATCTATTTAAGACATTAAATACAAATCTAAACTACTTATATAAAATTTATAGATTAATTTTGATAACATTTGAAATTTAACAAAATTTTAAAAGGTAAAAATTGTGGAGCTTATAGCTCTTCACAAACAGAAATTCGGTGAAATTCATTGCATTTAAAAGCTAAATTATTCCTATTTAATGCGAGTTCGTATTAATGTATTATCCACTTGTTCAATTTGTATCAAATTTTTATAATATCATTGTTTATTACAATCATTCAACTCAGTCGGTTTCACGGAAGACATGCTTTTAACTTTTTCTGGGGTAAAATTGAGTCCATTCAGTGTTTTAGCATATTATACTATAACAAATTCAAATACAAAAATATAATTTTATAACTTACTGTCAGCGACCGTTTACCAAGGAAAACTCACAATATTTTCAAATTTAATTGTTCTTTTGTTTATGTGTGTTTGTTTCGATTTTCAATAAATAATCTAGGTCATTAACGATTTTAGACACGAATTTTTTAAAAAATTTTAGTAAAGTTATAGAACTTTTTGAAATTCACTATGACTAATGAATTTTTAGAATACAAATCCTGAGTTTTATAAATAAATTTCACAGGTTCATTGGTTATGACATTTCAATTTATATATATTTGCCTCCGAAACTCTCAGTGCATAATAAGGGTGAAAAGTCTAAGATTACAAAAAAATTGAGATTAATATTAAATTTCTAGAATATACAATTAGTTATAAAAATATCCCAAAGTAGTTTATAGCAGATTTTTAATGGATAACACTATCAAGGAAAATTTTACTTTCAAACTGAGACATACACTTGCAGGTAAAATTAAATCAAATCTCAATGCACAAAAAAGCAAAATAGAAAGCTAAAAGCACCCTAGTTAAGTACCAAATTGTTAAATACTGAAAATATAATTTCCGAATGGCACAATATTAAATTTCGAAATTGTTTAAAATTAAATATAAAATTGAACAGTGAAGTTATAATAATGGGGGGGTCATTAGGGTTCCCCCCTGTGTAAGAGTTGAAGAAAGAATATATGTTAAAAATCATTAAAACTCATTTACAGTTTGAAAACTAAAACGGCTTTAACGCTCTTATAAGTTTAGAGAAATGAAATAAGAGGCTTAATTTATTCAAGACCACAACAATACAAATACACGTCAAGAGAGAGCGAAAATTCTCTAAATTCTGCTTAATTTAATTAATATTGCATAAAAAATATTACTCAAGTTATTTTAAAAGTGGAAACTAGATAAAAATTAAAGATTACAAAAACTATTAAAAAAAAGTATGTTTTGCTGTGTAGGTTGTAAGTATTGAAAACCGTTTATGAAAAATTGCAAAACACCAAAAATTTTATTTTCTAAAATAAGCACTTCGAGGCAATTGACAGCTTTTGGTTTGGTTATAAATTTTCGTCAATTATTTTTTTCTTAACTTAGGGTAAAAGTCCGTTTAAAAACACCACAGACTTGAAAATCAAAATTTCCTTATTTCCGTTTCAATAAAAATTAAATTTTAGTAAATTTTTTATTTTTTAATTTGCAGAGGTGAAACATTCGTCGGAGGTGAAGCTGGTATGGCTGTGCCTGAAACAGTATGCACTCCTAAAGCAGTTGGTATCAGCGTCGATATCAATGTATATGAACCTCATCTTTTAGCTGGGACGATGGCTCATATGATAGGTCATAATATTGGAATGGGCCATGACGATGGAAGTAAGTTCGTTTATTTATACATACATACACTTTTTCCCACATTTATTTTTCTTATAATGTAGATTCTTGTACAAGAAACATTTTGCTATCATACTAAGTGAATTATAAAAACAATTTAGTACATATGAACTTATATACATCTACATGACCTAATGATTTTAATAGACTATTCAAGATTCGTATACTTTACATACTACTATACATATTATATACGAGTAATATGTAAAAGTAAGATATAAAATTAAGCAAATAAAAAATTTAATTACTTTTGTTTGGAATTAATTTTCTGTTGCGATTTCTTTAAAATAAATGTACTTGAAAAGTACAATATATTGCGTACATATTTAATGGGTGTACATACCAATCCAGTGTTTTACCACAAAACCTTTACTTAACTTCTTAACTGCTCGGCTTTCACAAACATTAATTTTTTACAAATTTCATCTACAATTCCTTTTTTATAAAAGTAAAGCAAGGGTTGTTTTTTCTTCAAAATAAATACTTTTAATCCCAAAGACTTAAAATTTCCCAAGGTCGATATTTTTCCTTTTTCATTTTTTTTATAATTGACTTCATCCGTTTACTATAAATATTTGATAAATTTAATTCTTTTTAACAATATTTTATTATTTATATTTTCTATAAATAATATAATATACAGTGAAATACAAATTTGAGAAGTCAATTAAAAAGCAAATGAGTTAAACCTTCATAGAAGTGATAAATACTTAAAGAAAATGACCGTTTTTAAGAAATTTTCTTACAGTCCGAGTAAAAACAAATCAACTTGAAGCTATACTTTTTCAAATTGGCTACATTACCAAAATTTAAGCAAAAGAAACAAAAATTTACAAGAACAAAGAAGAGCAATTGTAAAAAGTAAAATATACGTACGTTCTACTTTGGCAATGTTCTTCCAAAAGGATGACAGCGATTTAGATATAGCGTTACTTAAGTTTCGCTGGGGTCTAAAATATATTTAAATTTTAATTCTATGCTGTTTATTCTTCTTTCAAGTTATTTAGCGTCTTACTTCTTCAAATTTTCACTTAGCGGGCTACTAGCTTTTTTTTACACAACTAATAATGCACTTGCCGGAAAAGATAAAAAAAACTTCTACGTTCTTAATATGCATACGTATATACATAAACATTCATAGTTGTGTATATAAATATAACATTGTTTCATGGTACAGGAGACAAATAAAAGATTCAATACACAAATCGTTAAAAGAGGACATTGGGACTTAAAATCATTCAATACTTGCTTCCGTTTAGATCCCTTGTTGCTTCCCGGATGTTACTAAATTACTTTAAGGATTTTTCTCAGCTTTTTACTCCTTTTTTTTTGTTCAAAACACTCAAGGATTTTAACATAATTTTTTCTTTTTTCTTTTTTTTATTTTTTTTTATTTTTTTTTTATTCAATTTCGTTATTTTACGTTAATAATATGTATTTAATTTGATAAAGAAAACTAAGTGAAAATACGGAAAGGAACAAGAAATAAAATATTTCTTAATTTTAAATATCCCCAACAATTTCCTGACAACGATTTATAAAAGGGAAATGGCTGAATACGACGAAATTTAATATAAAGAGAAATATGATGGAAGGACAAGCACTATGTAAAATTTGTTCAAAGTCTGCTCATTATCTTCACAGAAACTTGCATTCACGTATTGCGTAATTAATGTTATTATTTGAGAAAAATAAGTGCTTTAAAAGAACTATTTTCTAAACAAAGATAAATATGTATGTATGAAATTTGTGAATCAAATAAGATTCAAAAATAGTCTCTCGGAATTTTGTATATGAATATTGCCTTAAACTTTAATCAAAACATTTTAAATTAAAATAGGTATAAAACACGAAATGTCAGAAATATTATTATAGAAAAAATAATTAATAAATAGATCCAATTAATTAATTTTTCTCAATTAAATTAAAAAAGAGTTAAAAAAACGATAAATTAAATTTAAAATCACTACAATTTGTTTAATTTTTTAAACAAAAATCGCAGTTGATCCTAAAATCTTCAAAAATATGAAACATAATTTTTCATAATCAATTAACGACTAAGATAATTTGTTATTATTAAATCACGCTGCATTGGCAATAAATTATTAAATATTTATTTTTTCAAAGTCAAAAATAAATAAGTATTTCTACCTAGTTTTAATTCCCAAAATTAAAAAAGATACGCAATCCACCTCGAACCAATTAATATTAATTGTAACAACACACCATCTTATTTTATTTATTCATTATAATGATTTATAAAGTTTAATTAAATTTTCTTTTAATTTTTTCCTAAATACGTCAGGATTGCATTTTGAAACACGCTTCAATAATTTAATAGACTAGATTAGTTAAATTTCACTGTAACAACGGGTTTCGAGTAACAACAAAATACTTCTATTAAAATATTATTATGACCATTACGAGTATACTCTTGTTACCTATCACATACCTTAGCCATTAAAGAGAAATACAACTATTTGCGTAGTTTTCAATACACTATGTATTTTGATTTGTACATTTTTATGTAAGTATATTTATGTATTACATATGCAAATACATATTTCCAAATTGACCATACCTATGCATACATATATATGTGTAAAAATAATCATTTTTACACATATATATGTATGCATGTATTTATTTTATGAATGTCAAAGCATTCCAAATATGTTGCCATAAAATTATATAAACATACAATCAAAATATAAAACCAATAATAAAAATTTAATTCCAACTTAATTTGATTAAAAATTAATTATAATGAAATTGAAAAATAATTAAAAGCAAGAGAAACAAAGAAGTAAAAAAAATAAGTCTTTCGAAAGTTCACTTATTATTTTAAGCATAATAAATCTTGTTAGGAAAATAATTTACATATTATCGATATATAAAAATGCAGATATTAATCGAGAGTTTCATGATTTTTAAGTAAGAAGAGTAAATACATAATAACAAAAACAATTTAGCGATTTTACATAAAATTCTTTTATAAGTAATATTTTAAAAGTTCACAGGATTTCAGGTATATTATTTTAGTGTGAAATTTAGATTATTTATGCCTAAATTGTCGCATTACTTCATTATAATATATTTAAAAAACAAACGCAATGCTAACAATTTAATTGACTTGCGAAAATAAAAAATTTATTTTACGTCAACCCAACATTTAATTTTCAAAATTATTGAGCAATATTTTCTATACATGAGTCAACTTTAAATACAACCACGGCTGACAGAAATACGATGGATACAGTACGATGGTTCACAGTTGACGTATTTACACGTATTCTTATGGGAGCTATAGAGGGCTCCTTTTTACATCATAAATCTCCTATACAAGATCAACGTTTTTCAAATTTTTAATTATAAAATGTTAAAATTTAATTAAAGCTCAATTTTTCAATTCTACTGGTGCTTACATTCTTAAAGTTCTGTATTACAAAAACATTAAAAAATTGATTTAAAAAAAACTTCCAGGCTCAATAAGTTTTTTTAAGATTTCAATAGGTGCCACACTACAAAAAAAAAATACTTTCATATTTTTTTTCGAAGTATTAAGTTTATTGTTGTGCGTTTTTTGAAATTAGAGAAAACGTACATTTGATATTAACAATCCTGCTAATTATGTATGATATATCTACCTCAATGCATACTTCTTATTTAATCACACATATATATATATATATATATATATATATATATATATATAAATATATATATATATATATTATAGTGTATGTTATTTTAATTAAATTAATATGATTCATAATTATTGCATATGTGTATTATTCCATATAATTCTTTTTATGTATTTTGGTAATTTTAGTTATATAAGGAAATATTTTCACATTGTTAGTATGTCTAATTCACTGATTTACCTAAACTACCGCATCAGGAACTTTAAAACTTATATTTTATCTAAAAAGCAATGTCATTTCGCCAAATGTAAAAATTCTATTAGAATCTTAATAACTTAATTCGAATTTAGTTTTTGTTTATTTTATTTTGCAAAATATATTTAAAGTTTTTCATTCAAAATCGTTACCGTACAAAAGAGGAGTTGAGCTGTACTAAGGAAAGTCAAAAAAATTAATAGTTTTTAGCACTTTTCCAAAAATTTTTTGAAAAAAAGTGCTTATTAGTTTCACTCTGTCCGTCCGTCCGTCCGACCGTCCGTCCGTCCGTCCGTCCGTCCGTCCGTCCGTCCGTTCGTCTGTCCGTGTGTCTGTTTACAAAACTTCTACATTTTTAAAGATAGAAAGCTGAAATTTAAAACGTACATAGATCTTTACTAGAAACTTATTTTTGTAGAACAAAATTTTTACCTATCTCCCCCCCTCTAGAAGTTATACCCCCCCAAAGCACTAAAAATGGCCTATTTTAACTATTTGTTGCAATGAAACCTTAAGTATTTTTGAAATTTTGCACACGCAGAAAGGCTGTGGCTTGCTTCCCCTACCGCGGTATACTATAGTTAAACTTTAGAAAAACAAAATGGCCATTGAAATTTACCGTTATCTACAGTCCTTTTTTACCAAATTTTTGATGTCGTTTTTCTTCTTGACCCCAGCCTGTAGAAGCTTGAAATTTTAGGGGCTTTTAGACATTAACATTTAATTCATTTCGTTAGAAGAAAATTTTTTTCCATCTCCACCCCCTCTCAAGTTATGGCCTCTTGAAATTTGTAAAATTTGAATTTTCAACACCTTATATTTCTGAAACCGCAAGCTTTTTCAAATTTCTATAAACGCAAAAAGTTAACGGTAAATTCCATGATATTAAAAAATATAATTATTTTTCTTAACTCACACAAGTAACCCTTAAAATCGAGCATTATGTTAACCCCACTTTATATTAATTTTTGCTTTATTTCAAAGACTGCATAAATCGTTCATCCTAAATATATGCAATCCTAGAAATAGTTTTGTATATGAATGAAAATAATTTTAATAGTGTGATAGGTATACATAGACTGTATTTAAAAGCAGAATTTTTACTTGTTGAAGGGAAAAGTGCTATAATACAAACCATTGGTTTGACCCAACTTTATTCTAAAGAGTTTCACTTACAATCTGATTTGAAATTAATTTTTTATTAATGAATTAGCAAGGATTCGAAAAAAAATGCAGTTTCTAAGCAGAAATAATGTAGGTGAGAACAGAAATTATAAATCTTCCTTTAAAAGTTCTTTATTCAATTGGTAAGTTGAACAACCACAAATTTAATTTAAAACTTTAAAACTTTAAAACAAGAATTAAAAAAAATTAATTTGAAACCAATGAATTTTTACTTATGTAAGCAAGTTATTTTATTTGTAAGTGCATATATGCTTACAAATTATTTAAAATGCAAGAATCAACGTTAAAAAAATAAATTGAATATAATTTTTTCAAGTATGAATTTTATTCTTAAAGATTTAAACAATTAAAAGGACTTTTGTGAATCCCACTAAAATTTAAAATTAAATGCTTTTAAAAATTATTTTAAACTAGATCATGCATCATGCAACAGCAAATTAATATAGAATTCGGCTTTTATATGTAAAACTATACATACATGCGTATAGAAAAGTTTTTGACGATATTATTGTCAAATGCTTTTGTATTTAACCATAAACTATTGAAAACTTTCCAGCTTTCTTATGTTTTTGACTTTGACAATTATGGCTTAGTTATGTAAAAGGTGTGTAAAATATTACATAATCCGAAACTGCAACTATTAAGCTTTATTTACTTAAGCTTTTCTAATAAGCAATTACATATCAAACACAAGTCTCCCTGCTACTATCTCAAATATAAAAAACTCCATCTAACATAACTTTTTCACACCCATGACTTAATTTCAAATTTCAATCATTTGGATTGTATAGGTACTTCAAAAATGGTAAATCTTTATGAAAATATATTACTGGTTTTTTAATAGAAGTGTTCCAATAATAATTAATGTGGCCATAAACGAAGTGACATTATCAGTTTGTGTTATTATTAATTTTATTCAGTACAGTTTATTTATATACGCCTAAAAATTTTTCATTATTATCATATTGCCAGAATTTTCCTTTCATCTATGTAATTAATTTTAAAGCTATCGGTGTTGAATAAAACATAACCACAAAATTTTCACAAGTGATCATTCCATCTTTAGTAAAATTGAAAATCCTGTGGAACGGCAAAATCATAGACCATTTTAATTTTTCAAATGGTGGCTTAGTTACGAGTAATAGAATCGTTATCACACTTTTTGGAAATGAATTATAACCAAATGAATTTTCCAGAGAAACATTATTTAAACCTAAACTACGTAATGAGATTTGAGAACTTTTATAAAGAAAATACTGATTTCTGTTTTTTCTAATTTTTATTTATATATCTTTGTCTATACTACTATAAGTTTAGTTCTTCTGATCCAATAAAATCTTCAATTTTGTGCACTCGAAACAGTTAATCTCTTTCCGCGAATTTGACGTTCAATGCAATATAAACATCAATCAGATTGGCAACTTTAGTATTGTCCAAATCGATTTCAGAATTCTTTTGACAAGTATATAATGCGAATCATATTACAATTTACCAAATTCCTCTCATTTCGCATAATTCGTACAATAAATAATGTAAGAAAAGAAAATTGGAGGACGCAAACTTATTCCAAAATATTTCAATAAAATGTCAAAATCATTTTTACATACTGGTTTTATTTTGTACCTGTTTTATTAGAACTAATTTGTTTTCTGGGTAGTTTCAGGAAATGCGCCAGTTTATATTCCAGATTGCGTCACCGTTTCCTTTTACTTTGATTCGACAATTTTTATTATTGCACAAATATTTTCATTATTTTCTTTATTCTTCAAATTTTTTGTATTATTTTTTAACTATTATAAGTTAACAACTGTTATAAATATTCTTTACTGATTCACACACATATATACGTACATTACAACAATAACATATGACAATAAATGTATGCAAAAAAAAATAAGTATTAAAAGGAATTAAAAAAAAAAATTGAAAAAATGCTTTCTTTCTTTTCATATCATTGTTAAACAAAAGGAGAGGAGTGTTTCTGTCGTGACTGGCATGGATGCATAATGGCACAATCCATTGTTGGTCTGGAGAACGTCCAACCATATAAATTTTCAGAATGTAGCAAAAAGGACTATATCGACGCATTACGTACAGGACATGGTCTTTGCTTGCTGAATAAACCAAACGAGGTATGCAATAAAAATGAAGAAAATAAAAAAATAATTTTTCGTTTGTTTCTCTTCTTTTTTGTTCACTGTATTTTCAACTATCGTATATCCTTTAACAATGATTTTCATCGTCCTTTTTATTATTTCTTATGAGTGAATTTTGTTATATTCATTTTAAAATTTTATACATTGCACAAAAGGAGAAAAGCAATAAAAGAAAACTTTAATATTTTTCATCCTGGAACCTTTTCTTTTTGAAAATTTTTAGAAAAATCATTTTTTTATTGTTTTTCTTACCATAATGTAAAATATGTCATATTACAAAAGTATATAGTAACAACTATACCTACGTATATAAAACCAAAAACTAAAAAAAGGTAAGTACGAGAACTGATAATTTTTGCATCGCAAATTGTGCAACACACACGTATCTTTATTATTTTCCTATAGTCTCATAACTACTCGTATAAGGCACCAAGGACAAAAGAAAACAAGCAACAAAAATTTAGGTAGAAATTGTTTACACATTCGTAAACTAAAAGATTCTATTGTATCGAATGAATATATAAACAGAAAAAGGATATTTTAAATGCTCTGAAATGATAATGTAGTACGCGTCTATAGCTGGAGTAAATTTGCAATATTTAAAGTGACCATTTAATAATTTAATATTTTTTAGTACGAGTAAGTGGACTGTTCTATTTGATGAAAAATATTACTGAAACGATGTGACTGAAAAATTTTATGTTTTAATATTGTTAATTATTTAACAATTATTATCTATTAAAATAAAACAACTTTAACTTGTATTTCTAAAAAAATGAGACCCTCACTTTGGAGAGATACCTTTTAAATGTCTTCGTTATGGTACAGAAAAGTTTATTTAGAAATATAATTTTTATTCAATCAGAGCTTCCTTGTAGCCGAAAAAACAAACACAAAACTAAAATATTTAATTCAAACTCTTAAACCAAAACCATGAATTTCTTCGTTCAGTTGAATAATAATACTATTACACGTTCTTCTTATAAAATCATTAAAAAATGAGAGTATCAATAGGTGCTTCAAATATGATTCGGAGAAAACCATTATTCTAAATATATGTTTCTGTATCGTATTTGAACAAAATCAGTAATTTTTAATGCAATGGTCACAATAAAATTTTTACATATTTAGTTTGCTTATACTCATATATGAAGACAAAATGAATAAAAAATTGAGAAAATATTTTATTTATTTAAAGTTCGTAGTTCGTGGCCTTTATTTAGTCAGATTGATCTTCAAATATTATGTAATGGAGAGTATTAATGCAGCCATAAATTTTCAAATGTAGTCAAAACAGATCAAGTATGGAATTTAATCTCAATTTAATTGTCACACTTTCTATTTTTCATAAATAAAATATTCTAAGAAAGTTTTGTTAATACGCCACTATGCTTTTATCATCCACCCAGTAATAAAGTGATATTTTAGCAGAAAAAAAAAGCTGATTGTATAGTATATTCCTGAAAAGTTTACAATTTCCTGAAAACATTTGGTCACAAGTATTGATTATATAAATATTAAAGTTCAATGCAAGAATATGTCTTCATCATAAACTTTTATCATTGCAAAGACGAATTGCGTCTGATTCGATTTTGATGACATATTATAACTTTCTATTGATCTTGCATTCAGTAAATCACCAATATATTGCTTAATTAATTTTACTCATAAGATTCGGTTTTCATATTTTGCTAATATTGCATAAATTAAAAACTATTTTAAAATTTTAATAAATGTAGTCTTATACTCGTACGACTTACAATGGAAATTTTAATTTTACTATAATTTTTAAAAAATTTTCAGATATAAGAAAACTTAGCAGATATACAGATATCTGCTAAGTTATCTTAGCAGATTAAGTTTAGTATAGATTTTTTACATTTTATTAGGGCCCTTAAAATCTTGACATAGAAATGGTTTTCGTGCTATATCTTCTGTACCATAAAAGATTTCTCAACACTTAGTGACTAAAATTAAGGCCCGAGAAAGTGGCCAAAATTCTGTAAAAAAATTTCAAAGTTTAAAAAATTACCTGGTTAGAAAAAGCTGAAATAATAAAAAAAGGGAAAAATTTGATTTTTCCTAAAGTTCGAATGATTGGTATTCCGAAAGTACACAAAATACATAATCAAATAAGATGTTTATTTTAAGCCCTTATTTAGACCTTTCAGAAACTGTTTGAAGCCCCTATCTTTTTCGGAACGGAAGTTATAATCAAAAAAGCTTAGATAACTAGAAATTTCGTGAAAATTCGTTAAAATCCCTGTATCTCGAGAACCCTTGAGATTTCACACCTACTTCGGAACAAAAGTTTTACCCATTTTCGACATAATCTAACCAATAGTTTATGTTGTTGTATACTTTTCTGAATCATCCTGTATATGTAAATTTTATTATCTTCAAAAATCAAAGATTTTACAGTTAATTCTTTAAGCGGAAACTAATAATTACAAAGTACTCCCCAGCTAATGAAAAAATTTCAATAACAAAACACAAAACTTTATTAAATATCACAATTGCCAATTCCTTGAAACTACAATTAGATATACAAAAAGCACTGCAATGAAAAATTTAAATGCCCCCAGTTTTATGCTACATTTAAACGCCCAACTTTTTTACACCTTTCCAAATTCCTTCCTGAACCCTATTACTTTTTTATTTTTCCCAAAATGATTTAAACTATCAAAAGTTTTTTAATTTCGCTAAGAGCTTACAAAACCACAATCCTTGAAAAAAAAATAATAATAAAAAACATATTTTTCCGAAGTTCGAAATAACTTTTTTTTTGGAAATTTGAAAATAATTTATTTTTTATCATATCTTCCTTTTCTCCAAAAAAAACAACAACAAAAACCCAAAAGATACGAGCAAATGTATCCAACAGTAAGTTGGAAATAATTAATGAATCCTTCCACGGTTACTTTTATTTATTTACTTGCTTTAAGAATTATTTAAAAACAAAAAATCGTTCTTCCACATAAGGATTATAGAGAAAAATATAAAAGGATATTCGCCATTTTTTTATGCTTTTGAAGTGGGTTATTTTTATAGATTTATACGATGAGAAGAGATGACAAGTGAGCTATAACAAAACTATTTTCAACTATTTTCCATCCCAATAATTGAGAAAGTAATGTATTTCAAAAAAAAAATTAAAAAAGGAAATGTTAAGCTCCAAGGCTGTTATAGAATTGAAAATCTGAATTAAGAACTTTTTTAATCTTTTTAATATAATATGAACAAGCTTTACACATACAATAATAGTTATGGTGAAACCTTTAGAGTTCAAGAAGAAAAATTGTAAGTGTTTGTTATTTCTGACGAAGTCATGAATAAATAGAGAATTTGAATTGATTCGTGTTAAGATACATGCGTGTGTGTTCCTCTGTTCAGCATAATACTATGAAATTACTAATCTGATCACCAAGAAATCTTGAAATGCGCTGTATTTATTTGTAAGCAGATAAAAAACTGTTTGCAGATAGACTGGTTATAAGAAATTTAGGCTTCATTTTACGGCCACATTGCTGAAAAGGTTTCTTCAAACCACATAAGTTTCTTTCAAACACTATTCAGATTCCAAATCAAAAGTTTATTGAAAGTTCTTTAAAAAGTTTGCAAAACCTTAAAGTGCAGTTGATCCAAAATGGTCCTTCACTCTACAGTTTTTTTCACAGGTTACGAATCAAACTTAAAGAAATCAGATTTGGAAAAAAATCTCAATATAATTTTTTTGGCATGGTTTTCATATAAAAATCTACAACAATATAGATAATGATTTGTTTGAAAAATTGAAATAGTGCCTACTCATTTCCCAAGGATCAGTTTGACTACATACATATTATGTTAACTAAAACGTAATCTAGAAATAAAGTGATACGAAAAAAAGGAGACAAATTTTAGTAAACTAACTCAGGAGGTTCCAAGATTTGAAAAGATTTGAAGAAATCTGAATATAAAAAGAACATATTTTTAACTAAGTTCAGATAGAATTTACAACATAGATACAAATTTTAGTAGGTGAGTTTTTTAAAAGGGTTTACATTTAGAATGCTTCAGTAATTACTTGAAGCAATTCAATTGACTTCGATGATTTTAAAACACGAATGCGAAAGATCAATCCAACTCTTCAACAATCAACTTTCATATATTAAGGTTAAACTAAATCGAACAAACTATTCAGAATTTAGCATGCATTTTCCTACACATACGTATATGTATACGATATTTTTTTAGCACTTTTCCAAAAATTTTTTGAAAAAAAGTGCTTATTAGTTTCACTCTGTCCGTCCGTCGGTAGGCTTGCTTTCCCTAGCGCGGTATACTATAGTTAAACTTTAGAAAAACAAAATGGCCGTTCAAATTTACCGTTATCTAAAGTCCTTTTTTTCCAAATTTTTGATGTCGTTTTTCTCCTATACCCCAGCCTGCAGAAGCTTGAAATTTAAGGGGCTTTTAGACATTAACAAATAGTTCATTTCGTTAGAAGAAAATTTTTTTCCATCTCCACCCCCTCTCAAGTTATCGCCTCTTGAAATTTGTAAAATTTTAATTTTTGACACCTTATATTTCCGAAACCGCAAGCTTTTTCAAATCTCTATAAACACAAAAAGCTAACTGTAAACACCATGACATTAAAAAATATAATTATTTTTCTTAACCCACACAATCAACTCGAGCATTATGGTAACCCCTCTTTATATTAATTTTTATCTATTTCAAAGACTGCATAAATCGTTCATCCTAAATATATGCAACCCTAGAAATAGTTTCGTTTATGAATGAAAATAATTTTAATAGTGTGGTGGATATACACAGATTGTTTTTAAAAGCAGTATTTTCACTTGTTGAAGGGAAAAGTGCTACAATACAAACCATTGGTTTGACCCAACTTTATTATATTCAAAATTCACATATTCAAAAATTGTTATATGCATTAAATTTCAGTGATTCGCCAACCCATTTACTCAAGCGAACCAAAAATCAACTTCGTGATAAATAAACTTTTAATTGAAACTTAATAAAAGCTATTCTAAATATTAATTTAAGCTATGTATGTACAAATAAAATATTTAAATAATCTTATTTGATTTGAACCACACTCACATGTTCCTTATAAAGTTTTCGGAAAGTAGTCAAAATTAATTCGTGACTAAAATTTGATCTGCCGACCACTGTCAAAAGTATTATGCATAATTGAGCAAAAAAAAAATTGGGATTTTGGTTTTGAAGTTCGAATTTTTGTTTTTTTTTTAATAAATTAATTTTTTATTTCCTTTACTGCTGCCAATGCCATAAACCATACTTCTGATTTAAAATTAAACCCTATTTAAATATAATATATTTTTTTTAACAAAATCGTATTGCTTTGATGTTCTGAAATTGGTTACTAATAGCTTCAAATGAAATAAAAAGGATTACATATTACAGAAATTAATAATAATGAATAGTTTACTTTTCTTCCTGTTAAATTTGTTTGTTTTTGTTTTTTACCTTTGAAAATTTCCGAAAATAATTTTGGTTTACGTTATACACAGTCTATATGCTTTCGTAAATCTTTAATTAAATCAAATATTTATTGGTAATTTAAAGAATCTTTTTAAGAAAAAAAAATTTTATAAAAATTACTCAATTTTTCTGTTAAATTATGTATTTACATTTTTATAAATTAGTGAAGTATTGTGGCCTTTACGACCTTTTGCGAAATTATACTTTCGGTGTGAGAGCCAATAATTATTTTAAAAATATGGAGGATGTGTTTTTATTTGATTCAACAAATAAGATTAGATGATTTTCATATTTCATCGAATGCATAAGTGAGTTTTTAAAAGAAATACACTTTCATAAGGGATACTGATCCGTCTATGCGGTTTCATAATATTTAATTTTGGGTGAACCGTAAAGGTCTTTAATGACGAGTTAATTTATGTATGAATTTCCTGTGAATTGAAATCAACCGTCTTGAAACCAAAAATTGACTAATCAATTTTTGAGGTGAACCATGAATTTTCTTGATATTTTATTTCTTATTTCGTGCATTTCCATAATTTTGGGATAGAAACTATAATACAATATATCACACATTATGTGTAAATGTGGCAAGAGAAAAAAATGATTTTCCTGTCTCAGAAAGCGAAAAAGTAAACTTCTGTTCTCTCCCAAACACTGAGTAAATAAAAGAAAACTTTACTTTCCTGGAATTTAACAAATTGAAGTGTTAAATGCAAAAATCTTATTTAATTCATTTATTGGTCCTGGATGTAAAATTACACCATTTTATAAAATTTTGTAAAATTTTCAAGTAAATGCAATGCCATTTACAAATTAACAAATAGTCAAAATTAACAAAAGAATTTTAATTAAAATAGGAAATTAGGTAAAATTTAAATTTCTCTTCAATAGAATCATATCAAAATATCCTTATTTGGCCTTTAGGACATTTAACATGCAAAAATAATATTTTTAAAATAAGGTTTAGTTATTTTTTTCTTTGGAATCAAAATTTTATATTTGATTTTAAATAGATGAAAGGTGCAGAAAATTTTTAATTTTAAGCCGGATAGTTTCACGTATATAGCTTTTTGGGTACGAGGCTATAAGAGAATTTGTTCTCCAATTTCGATATGATATAAACAACAACATTGTTTTATAATAATAACACATGTCTGAATGCGATATTTATATAATAGTTTTTTTCTTTCTAAGCAAGTCTAACCTTCTAATAACCTTAAAATTTTAAGGGTATTTAGCACTTTTCCGAAAAATTTTTGAATAAAATGCTTATTATTTTACAAGAAAGCTTTTACCTATCACTCTCCATCTTCAAAAAGTTACAGCCCTTCAAAATCCTAAAAATGCCATTTTTTAACTTTTATTGCAACGAAACGAGTAAGCATTTTTCAAATTTTGCCAATACAGTTTTTAGACACTAATAAATGGCTCATTTTGCTCCACTCCCAATCCTTCCGAAACTATAAGCTTTTCCAAATTTCTATAAACCGTCATTTAAAATGCCATGTCATTAAAAAATATAATTATTTTTCTTAACTCACGCAATTAACCCTTAAATTGGCGCATTATGTTAAAACCCTCTTGAATTTTTTTTTAGTTTTTTTTCAAAGATTGCATCCAAAATTTATGCAATCTCTGAAGTGTATTCGGGTGTGAATGAAAGTAGTTTTAATAATGCAGTACATTATGTAGATTGTTTCTAGAAGCAGTATTTGCACTTGTTTAAGGGATAAGTGCTACATTACAAACCATTGGTTTAACCTAACTTTATAAGTTCAGAAACAAAGGCAAGAATAAAACAAGTAAAAACGTTTCAGTCGGTATGAACCGATTGAATTATACCCTGCACCTTTCATTGTTGTATAGCAATTACTCAAACCTGTGAAACCATTCTATAGAAACTTCACGGATATGTCTGATCTATAACTGAACACACAAGTTTCGTGAATCTGACTTTATTATTTTTCCAAATATTTAAAATTAGTTTTTGCAGTTGTATGGCAGGTACCCGAACCTGCCAAGCAACTTCACTAAAACTTCGCTAATATATCTGATCTATAATTGGACACACAACTGCCAAGTTTCATGAATCTGTCTTTATTATTTTTCCAAATATTTAAAATTAGCTTTTGGAGTTGTGTGGCAGGTACCCGAACCTGCCAAGCAATTCCACTAAAACTTCGCAAATATATCTGATCTATAATTGGACACACAACTGCCAAGTTTCATGAATTTGACTTTATTATTCTTCCAAATATTTAAAATTAGCTTTTGGAGTTGTATGGCAGGTACCCGAACCTGCCAAGCAATTCCACTAAAACTTCGCTAATATATCTGATCTATAATTGGACACACAACTGCCAAGTTTCATGAATCTAACTTTATTACTTTTCCAAATATTTAAAATAAGCTTTTGGACTTGTATGGGAGCCACTCGAAACTGTCAAGCAATTCCACCAAAACTACAGAAATATCTTTGACCTATAATTGGACACACAACTGCCAAGTTTCATGAATCTGACTTTATTATTTTTCCAAATATTTAAAATAAGCTTTTGGACTTGTATGGGAGCTGCTCGAACCTGTCAAGCAATCCCGCCAAAACTTCAGAAATATCTTTGACCTATAATTGGACACACGACTGCCAAAATTCATGAATCTGACTTTATTATTTTGCCGAATATAAAAAATTTACTTTTGGAGTTGTATGGCAGCCACCCGAACCGGTGCAGCTATCTCATTAAAATTTTTAGAGCATATGTAGAATATAATTGGACACATATATACAAAATATATGGACGGACGGACATGTCTAAATCAACGCAGAATTTTACGCTGAGCAAGAATATATATATATGTCCATACCGCAGTTGACTCCTTCAAGTAGTTACAAACTCCATACCAAAGTTAATATACCCTTCACGAAGTGCAGGGTATAAAAAGAAGATAAGCTGAACTTTAAATTTGTAATAGAACAGAAGGAAGATTTTGCTTTAATTTTTATAATAAGTTTGATATTGAACGTTATTCATGGACAAATGAAATAGAAGTACAATATATTCATTGGTATATTTGTTCATCATATAAGTGTGATTCTAATTCTATCTTAATTTATCAGATCTCAGATATCTAAATTTCGGAGCAATTTTCCTTTTCTTTAACAAATATTTACAACAACACTATGCAAAATATTTTAAGAAAATTTCTGTATTTTATATCAATTTTGTTTGTACTCGTACTTAATTGTATAAATGAACTTAAACTTTTTTTCTTTTCTAAAATTTGTTTTTCTTTTAATTAAAATATAACACATGCGACATTTAATTAATAGCAAAAAAGTGTATGTATTTGTCTTAATACATTTTAATTCTCATAGGTTGAAATGATCCACAGAAATTGTGGCAACAAAATTGTAGAAGAAGACGAAGAATGTGATTGTGGAACATTCGAAGAATGCCAAAAAGATCCTTGCTGTGATGGTATAACTTGCAAATTAAAAACAGAAGCCGAATGTGCAGGAGGAGAGTGCTGTGAGAATTGCAAGGTAATTTTGTTCACCTTCATGGAAATTTCTTTAAATTGCAAACATAAATTTCCTACTTTACTTATAATAATTTTGTGAAATTATTTATAGCTAAAAGATAGGGGTGTTATGTGCCGCGACACTGCCAATGAATGTGATCTTCCAGAATATTGTGATGGCGAAGGCGGGCAATGTCCACCAGATGTATATAAAAAAAATGGATCCCCATGTGGTCATACAAGACAAGGATTATCGGGTAAGTGAAAAAAACTTTATAACTTTATTTTAAATATTTAAACAAAAGCATTATTTATTCAAAGATAGAAATGCAAAGTAAACACAGTACTTACATACTAAAATAAGAAAATTAACTAATTAAAATAAATAACAATTTAATAAAAAAAAATGCTACCACATTTAACGACTTTGCATCTTTCCCACACAAGTTCTGCTTATCTATTGTAAAGCTAATTTCATTTGGTAACTAATTTCATGGCTACAGTAATGCAATAATAGCTAACAGGATGTAAGGTGTATATTATGCGCTGGCGGTTTCTTGACTCTAAATACTTGGTTTTGTTTAGATTTATCAAAAAGTACTTTAAAGTAAAAAGTTGTAATATGACTATATAACTTTCAGCTATCTTATAAAAATATTTTTAATATTATTCTTATTCTTTTTGTCATTTTGTATAATATGTTGCAAATCTAATTAAAGGTGTGCCTTTTTTACTTTTTACAAAATAACAATTTTTTCACTCAATTTTATTACAAATGTAGTTAAAGATAGTTCCCAAAATTAATATTAGCAAAATAAACCATTTAATTAACATCTGATTGCACTTCCGATTCAGATCCAATCACCATGAATCTGTTTGCTTTTAGAAAACCTGTTGGTTAGAAAGTAAATTTCGCACAGTTTTAGGCGTTGTTATACGCCTACACAGAGAGAGCCGTATTTTGGTGCATTGACATCTACCAGCATAATGATCTTCACCTGTGAGAAAAAGTTATTCTACAATAGACCTACACCGAAACCAACGAGGCTCTTAAATAGAACTAATATCTCAAAAAATAATTTTTTTGGCTTAAAACAAAGGATTTCATAACGTTTTTAGTTCAGATACTGAAACAATTTGAAAAATTACTTTTTGAAAATTTTTTCGTTTTGTTTTTTTTTTAAAATGCCCTAATATATTTCGTTGACCCAGTATGGCAGTTATCCAAAATTTTCCAACATTCAGAAATTCTGATTTACTCTCCTTAATATTTTTAATAACACTTTTTGGTGCAGTTGTAACAGTTTACGAAATAAATGAGAATAAATGCTTAGAGACAATTGGATCAAAAATAAGATTTTAGGAAACAATGTGTTTTTTTATAATTTAGATTTTTATAATTAATAGTTAGTTTTTTTATAATGTTAAAATTTTAGAATAAGCATGAAGGGTATCAAAAGAAAAATCTTAATTTATTCAAGAATTGCGTTAAAGTTCTATAAGTGAATAAAAAATAAACCACTTCCTTCTTTCGAAGAATGAATCAATGAATTTTATTATGATGTTAAAATAACAATTCAAATCAAAACTTTTCTTTTACCTTTTATTCTTTTAATTACCTTTTAATAGAGATTACGCTAAAAATGGAAATCTTACAAAAGGAAATCTTAACAGCATGCAGGCTTACAGATTAATCATATAATAAAAATTTATACTCACTTTTAGCAACACTTTATAAAATAAGAAGATAAAAGAAAATATTCATATCAACGAAGAGGATAATTAACCTAATTAGCTGTCCATTTCAACTTATTAATTATATTGGATTTTTTGTAATTTTTGGTTTTCACAGAGTTATACAGTATTCTCTTTTCTCTTTAAAATTATTAGTTTGATTTGACTTAAAAACCTAAATTATTCAATATAGCAATATGCATATGTTATTTACTTACTTTGGTTTACTTTACTCATTTAGAATTTATATAAAAAAATCTCTTATCCTTTCATATTACCTTATTATAAACCAATTGTTTGTGCTGTACCTAGATTTATACCTTTATACATACATACATATAGAATTCCCATGCCAATTTAATTTCCGGTAGAATTAGTTAAAAAATTTTTTAACGTTTTAAAATTTTTATTTTTTATATGAATACACAGTTATGCTTAGTTTGGTATTATACCTATATTCCTCTATTGTCAACCTTAAAAGTATCGCATTGTATACAAAGATCTTTATTATAATTTTTTCTCAACGTCTATTCAAATTAACTTAATACCCGACTTATATAATGCGATACATTTCATTTTTTTTAAATATGGGTATGTGTATATACACATCAGTATACATACATGAGTATATATATTTTGAAGATCCGTAATATTCTATATACGATTTTCTTTCATTTCTTTATATTTCTAATAAACGTGAAGGACTTTTAAGCTTTCAAACTACATTATTTGATACAAATATTTTTCTGTTTGGTTTTTTTTTTTCTATTTTCTATAAAATTGCTTATGTATGTATACCTTTTAAAAAATTATCTCAACCTTCATTTTCCTTTTCATATATATTATAAATTTTATACACCTCTCTTACAAAAAAAAAAAACTATAAAAAAAAAACAAAAATAATAGAAAATAATTTCACGTCCTTACTATAGCATAATGAAAAAAGTAGAAAAATAAATATTTTTTTTAAATTTCTATGGGAAACTATAGAAAAAACCACTGCTATTACCGTAAAACCAACATCAAATTCGGCTGATGTATTTCAAACGCAAAATTGAAATTAACAAATATACAATTGTAAGCACATAAAATTATATACATTGACATATGTATGTACACCTATTTTTAGATATTCCAAAATGTAAAGTTGTATTTGCCATCCTAGTTTACGACTAAACAAAAAATAGCCAAAAAAAAATAAAAAAAAAATAAAATTTTATACCATAATGAAAAAATACGAATAAAGAACCTAAAACCCTGAAACCGTAACTTTTTATTCCAGACATCCATGATGGCTTTTCTATTGACAAAAATATGTACAAAAAGGAAAGTAAAAACAGGATACAAAATAAAAATAAAAAATTCTGAAAAAATAAAAATAGCTCTCGTTTTTCCAAGCATTTTAAAAGCATTTTTGAAGAGACTAAATTAATTAATTAGCTAGGTAACTTAATTACTGATGAAAAATAATTGAAAAATCAGTAAAAAAAAAAAACAAAAAAAAATTAACTTAGGACTTTCAAAATAATTAAAAAATACGAAAAAAATACAATACAACAACAAAAACTAAAATAATTGAAAGAAAAATCTAAAAAGAGAGAGAGAAGAAAGAAAGCAGCAGTAAAAACAACAAGAATTCTGTATTAAATGAAAATTTTAAATTTATTACGCAAATTTCATTTTTCTGTAGCATCTACCACTCTGGTGTTTTCTCTTATTTTTCTCCTAATATAATAAAAATGAAAAAAGAACTAAACAATCTGCTAAAAAAGAACAAAAACAAAACTTTTATAAGAATTTAAAAAGTTTATGTTCTTATTTTTGCATAAATTTATTTGCCTCAAGCTGTATTTTTGCATAAATTTTTGTGGTATAATTTTCCAGATGTTATGCTTTACTAATTTTAATATCTTACCTATTCTACAAAATACATTTAAATAAAAAAAAAAGATAGTCCCCACTAATTACATCGAGCTATGAGACTATGCTATAGGTACTGTAATTAATTCAAAATGTCAGACTATATTAATGTAAATAAGTACACGTCTATCTTTCCTAATGTATATTTAAATATATGTATGTAGTAAAAGGTTGAAACACTCGCTATATCAAGTTTTGAATACAAATATCAAATTTTTATCTCCTCCTGTGTCGATTTAGTAATTATTATATAATGACATTATTTTGTAAATAAAAAAAAAAATTATTTAAGCACGCAAAATTTTAATTTCGCAATTTTAACATTTTTTATATTTTTATTTTTGCAATTAGAGTTGTCCGTTTAAAACCTTTACTCAATTCAACTAAAGAGAGTGAACGATTAAAATGCTTAAAACAAAACACAGCAAGTAAAAGCGTTTCAGTGGGTAAAAACCGACCAAATTAAACCTTGAACCTTGACAACCCGAGTTTAAAATTTGTTTTTAAACATCTAGAATTAGTTCTCATTGTTATATACCAAGTACTCGAAACTATCAAACCACTCTATAGATATTGTACGAATATGTCTGACCTATAATTTGACACATTACTGCAGAGTTTCATGAACCTAACTGTATTATGTTCCCAAATAATTAAGGTTTCTTTGGTATGGTAGTTGTATGGCAGGTACCCGAATTCAAGTTATTCCAACAAAACTTCAGGAATATATGCGACTGCTAAGTTCCATGAATCTGATTTTATTATTTTTCCAAATTTTTAAAATTAGTTTTTGGAGTTGTATGGCGGGTACGCGAACTCGTTGTCCGAGGGTACAAGGGTCGTGCAGGGTACAAAAAAACATTCTTGTGTCAGTATGGTATTAGATTGTAATATTCGTATTAATTACACATAATATTAAAACCCTGGCTTACGAAATATTATGCTAGATAGGACATAAAACTTTAATTAATATTTTCTCTTAAATTCTTTAAATTTGATATTTCGTAATATTTCAAAATGATACTCTCTAAAGAAAAATAAAGTTTTGGTACAGAGTACCAAAGTAAATTAAAATTTTTAACTTTATCAAAAGAAAACTGCTGCAATCAAGACATTATACAGGTTTTCCTTGGGTATTCCTAGAAATATATATATATGTCAAATGCAACATTATGCTTTGGAAAATTATCTCTAACTGAAAGTCTATAATTCTTTTAAATGTTGAAACAAATTTATAAATACATTAATATTTAATCCGAACCATGTTTGTGACCTAAGATTTCAATACATGTACACAACTATAGAACATTAGATTTCCGTAACCACACAATAAAATACAGATGTGGCTTACATATTGTTTTATATTACCAAAGACATTGATCAAATTTTAATTTCCAAAGTAATCAATTCTTTGATTTTAAATTTTAACAATTTTCAATGAAATACTTTAAATGAAATAAATATGTATTTTAATAATCGAAACCATATTCACGCAACATTTGTGGTTAAAAATACAAATACATGCTAACATAATTTTAATTTGATTATTTGTGCATCCACATGTAAATAAAAACTATATTTATGTCAAGTTTGTGGTAAATTT